AGTTAAGCAACTGACTTCGGCTCAGGTCATGATCTCACGGTTTGTGGGTTTGAGCCCAGCGTCGGGCTCTGTGCTGACAGCTCAGAGACTGGAGCCTGCTTCGGATTCTGTGTCTCCCTCTCTCTCTGACCCTCCCCCGTTCATGTTCTGTCTCTGTCTCAAAAATAAATAAACGTTAAAAAAAATTAAAAAAAAAAAAAGAATATTGTCCAATTTGTAAGAAACTAGCAAACATCTACTATATACCTGGACTTCGTGGATATAACAACTAGTATCAAGACCTGGTCCCCTGCCTCTAAAACGTTTACAGTCTAGTCAGAGATATGAGATAATAGTCAGGAGGACTAGAATATGGCCATAATAAAGGAGACATGGCAGAATACACATAAGATATAACTCATAATATAAGGCAATAAAGCAAACCTACCCTTTATATTTTGGAAGAAAATGCTAATGATAAATCAAAATTGTCTTGTAATACCATTTCACACCCACTATGATAGCCACAAATTAAAAAAAAAAAAAGGAAAATAACAAGTGCTGGCAAGGATGCAGAAAAACTGGAACCCTCAAGACTTTGCTGGGAATAATGTAAAGTGGTGCAGCTGCTGTGGAAAACAGTTTGGTGGTTCCTCAATAAATTAAACACAGAATGACCATGTGACCCAACAACTTCACTCCTAGGTAAATATCTAAAGATACAGGTGATGAAAACGTTCTGAACTAGAAACTGGTGATGGTTGCACACTGTGAATAAATTTAATGCCACTGAAATATATACTTTAAAAATTATTATAATGGTAAATTTTACGTTACTTGTATTTTAGCACAATTGTTTAAAAAACAGATGTGCCTGGGTGGCTCAGTTGGTTGAGTGTCTGACTTCGGCTCAGGTCAAGATCTCATGGTTTGTGAGTTGGAGCCCCACATCGGGCTCTGTGCTGACAGCTCAGAGCCTGGAGCCTGCTTTGGATTCTGTGTCTCCCTCGCTCTCTGCCTCCCCCCAGCTCATTCTCTATCTCTTTCTCTCTCAAAAATAAAAACATTTGAAAAAATAAAAATAAAAAAATAAAAGTGAATGCTTTCCTTCAAAAATGTAGATCAAAGCTGTTGCCGAGGATGCAGAGAAAGAATGCACTGTTGGGAATGCAAACTGGTGCAGCCACTCTGGAAACAGTACGGGGGTTCCTCAAAACATCAAAAATAGAAATACCTTACAACCCAGCAATTACACTAGCAGGTGTCTATCCAAAGGATACAGGTGTGCTGTTTTGAAGGGGCACATGCACCCCAATGTTTACAGCAGCACTACTGACAATAGCCAAAGTATGGAAAAAGTCCAAATGTCCATCGATGGATGAATGGATAAAGAAGATGTTGTATATACATACAACGGAGTATTACTTGGCAATCAAAAAGAATGAAATCTTGCCATTTGCAAGACTGCCACGTGGATGGAACCAGAGTGTATTATGCTAAGCAAATTAGTCAGAGAAAGACAAATATATGGCTTCACTCATGTGGAATTTAAGATACAAAACAGATGAACATAAGGGAAGGGAAGCAAAAATAATATAAAAACAGGGAGGGGGACAAAACATGAGACTCTTAAATATAGAGAACAAACAGAGGGTTGCTGGAGGGGTTGTGGGAGGGGGGATGGGCTAAAATGGGTACAGGTCATTAAGGAATCTACTCCTGAAATCATTGTTGTACTATATGCTAACTTGGATGTAAATAAACAACAACAACAATAAACTTATTACTGTCCTGGAGGTCTGTTAGGAAAAGAAGTCCAGTGATGGACCTATAGGTACTCAAGAAGATTTTCTGAGGTCCTCTGAGAGAGCCCTGCATTGTGAAGAGTGGGAAAGCATTTTAATCACTCAACAGATTTACTGAGTGCCTACTATACTCCAGAGATTGCACTAGATATTAGGAAATACCCAGTGACAGGCAGACAGCTGGACTCTAACACAGAAATAGTGAAGGAGTGAAAAAACCAGGGAATTCAAGAACTTTCCTTCACCTGGGCTATCTGTGACTTTCACCTCTTGGATAAACAGAAGAGTTATCCAGCTGTCTAAAAAGGGCCCTCCGGTGGCTAGGAGATAGTACTGCAGTGTCAATTTCCAAAGCAAGACATTGCACTGGAACTTTAACATAGAGAACAAAACTTAACAAAAGCTATAATGTTGAGAGGAAAGCATCAGAAAAAACTTTTTGCTTCATGTCCTGTTGGAAACATGTCCAAAAGGTTTTAATCCACTTTACTGCTTTAACGTGTATAAGACTGTAACCATTCTGAATTCCAAAGGATCCTGGTGAGTCTCAGGGCTACCCTGAAAACCAAATGGTCTGCAGAAATTTGACCTGAACCTTTACTGACACCAGGAAGCTTTCTTCTTTAATTAGGTTGATCCAATTTGTTTTTTTCCCCTAAATTTTGAACAGAATATAAATCAGACTAAAAACTCAACCAGTCACTGAAAGAAATGTTAACATATCTCTTTCTCGGCTTACAATGCTTTTGTTTATTATTACTATTATATATGTATACATATATACATATATAATAAAAATATATAAATATACATTCTATATGTTTTTATTATATATATATTTATTTAAGTAATCTCTCCTCCGAAAGTGGGGCTTGAATCTACAACCCTGAGATCAAGAGTCACATGCTTCAGTTTGCAAAGTTTTTTTTTTTTTTTTTTTTTTTTTTTTTTTTTTTTTTTTTTTTTTTTTTTTAAATTTTTTTTTCAACGTTTATTTATTTTTGGGACAGAGAGAGACAGAGCATGAACGGGGGAGGGGCAGAGAGAGAGGGAGACACAGAATCGGAAACAGGCTCCAGGCTCTGAGCCATCAGCCCAGAGCCCGATGCGGGGCTCGAACTCACGGACCGCGAGATCGTGACCTGGTTGAAGTCGGACACTCAACCGACTGCGCCACCCAGGCGCCCCATAGTTTGCAAAGTTTTAAACCTTGGTCAAGTTACCAAATGTAGCACTGGTGAAAATTTCCTGGAAATTTCTCTACTGCTTTTGGAGAATGGAAGAGAATCACAGATATGAATGAATCTTCCTTCTTGTCTCGAAGATATAAAATGTCACTTTCCTGGGTGAGATGACCTGGAACAGACTTTTCACGGAGAGAAGGAGGGGCACACAGTGATAAAATGGTAGGTAGGGAAGGAGAAGTTTTAAAGTTCTGTGCCCGGTGTGTACTAAATGAAGCAACTTTTGTAACTCTTTCTGTGAAAATTCTCAGTGGCCAATGAAATGGTAGTTTTTATCAAGAGGCATATACTTCAATCAAATGTGTACTTCAACGTTCCCAAGCCTTAAATCTCAGTCAGAAATTTAGAAATCAATCCCAATCTTAAATCTTTGCCTCATAGGCGCAACGGCCACACATATTACTACTTACCCACACACATTTTGACATCATTCACAGTGAAGTCTGGATCTGGCATCCTATGAAACAAACACTTGTAAGTATAAATGGAAGCACACCTTCTCTAATCAGTGTGAGTTCTTCATTAACGTACTAAAAACTCCTAAGTTAAGACACATAAATATTCATATTCATATTTAGATTTAATGACATATTTTAAATATGATTATATATTCACATATACATAATAAAAAAGAATATATAACAAAATGTTAACAAGTGATTATTATCCCAGGGTAATAGATTTTTAAGAGATTTATTTTCTTTTTAGCTCACCTATATTTTTTCATTTAATTATTAACAACCATGAGTTGTTTTTGTAACAAAAGAAGAAAAATACATGGTTTTAAAACTATATGGGGGATTATTTTTAATTATCTACTGCTTTGGGTTATCAATACTGCATTGTCTATAGCCCTGGTGTAATATGGCCATTTCACAACTATATCCAATCAGGCCGAGAACACTTACTTTATTCCAAGTCCATCCGAATTCTTGAAAATCAGAGGGTCTCTTAAGCCACCCCGCTGAATATACTCTACATTAAAATCTGTCACCATAAGAAAACAACTGTTAGAAAGGCAAGAGGTATAGCCGGAAAAAGATAAAAAGACCATAAAATAGATCCTAAGTATTAAGGTGGAGATGGTGTTTGCTGTTTCTGTGTAAATAGTTTTGCTCTGTGAGACAATACACGCAAAAGAAGCATCCTTCATTGGGGCACCCGGGTGGCTCAGCTGGTTCAGCCTCTGACTCCAGCTCAGGTCATGCATGATCTCACAGTTTGTGAGTTCGAGCCCCACATCGGGCTCTGTGCTGACAGCTCAGATCCTGGAGCCTGCTTCGGATTCTGTGTCTCCCTCTCTCTCTGCCTCTCCCCTGCTCGTGCTCTGTCTCTCTCTCTCTCTCAAAAATAAATAAATATTAGGGGAGGAAAAAAAAAGCATCCCTCAGGATATAGGAAACTCACACTGAGAGGCAGGGTTCAAGGTGTTTTCTAAGTCTGTATTTCCACAGTAAATTCAGAATTTAACCAATAGAGGGTAGTACTATTAATGAGTCATCTCATAAACCCTAAGCAGAAATTATCATCACCCTGTCTCTTCACAGCCAAAAAATTTACTACTGTCCACTAGAGTATATACCATGACATCCTTGTCAGTTTGCCAAGGAGCAAAGCTGCATAGTACACATGGAATCCCACCTCTGTTGTGGTTGTGGGGAGAGGTACGTGCATAGAAGAGTTTTTACTGGGGTGCCTAGGTGGCTCAGTCAGTCAAGTGTCCGACTTCAGCTCAGGTCATGATCTCACAGTTCTTGGGATTGAACCCTGCATCAGGCTCTGCACTGACAGGGCAGAGCCTGCTTGGCATTCTCTCTCTCCCCCTTCTCTCTGCCCCTCCGGCATGTGTTCTCTCTTAAAAATAAATAAACATTAAAAAAAAAAAGTTTTTAGTGTACTATTCTAAATTAAACCTAAAACAAGGGATTGGAGAAGGAAGAGGGCTTCAGGGAAAAATTCCAACAATGTTCCTGGCCCTAATAAAACACTTTTCTTCTTGTGTCACAGAGAATGACTCCCAAGGTGGGAGAACTAGGGAAATGAGGGTGTGTGTGTGTGTGTGTGTGTGTGTGTGTGTGTGTGGGCACGTGCATGTGTAAGAATGGCATTGTGTAATAAGATAAAATAAACAGCATCACAGCATCAATAGGCAATATTTTAGCTGCACAGATACTGAGCCCATGGTTCCCAGAGTCTACAACTTCCTACACCAAGGGACTGCAGGTCCCTGGAACCAAAATGATACTGACCTTTTCCTTCCATAAAAGTAACAAAATTTGCATTATATTTGTTGGTGTGGAGCTTCTCTTCCAAGTCAAAAGTTCTTTTCCCTTCAATTTCATCATCTGAAATGCCATCATCTTCATAGCGTCGTCGCATGGTACCACGCTGGGGGAGAGAGGGACAGAAGGATCAAATCATGTACTTTTTCATGCTTATCTAAAAGTACTCACAAACATATGTACACTTCAACTTTATGTACTTTCAACTTCAGGTATAACACCTGAAACATCAATTTTCCTTGCCTTATAAACCTTTCTCTCAACTAAAGGTCAGGTAATGTCCTCAGAATGTACAGAATATAACAAAATTTTGATGGGCCACTGGTTCCCTACTTGTGAATTCTACCTCTGCTAACTCTTTGGACCTAGAGATATAAATTTACAATAGAAATATGACCGGGGCGCCTGGGTGGCTCAGTCAGTTAAGTGTCCGACTTTGGCTCAGGTCATGATCTCATGGTTCGTGAGTTCAAGCCCCACATCGGGCTCTGTGCTGACAGCTCAGAGCCTGGATCCTGCTTCAGATTCTGTGTCTCCTTCTCTCTCTGCCTCTCCCCCACTCACACTCTGTCTCTGCCTCTCAAGAATAAATAAACATTAAAAAAAAAAAAAGAAATATGACCAAATTGTGTTCACAGTCCAATAAAGACTGGAGACAATATGTATATATATTTTTTAATTTTTTTTTAACGTTTATTTATCTTTGAGATAGAGAGAGAGACAGAGCACGAATGAGGGAGGGTCAGAGAGAGGGAGACACAGAATCCGAAACAGGCTCCAGGCTCTGAGCTGTCAGCACAGAGCCCGATGTGGGGCTCGAACTCACGGACTGCGAGATCATGACCTGAGCCGAAGTCGGCCGCCCAACCAACTGGGCCACCCAGACGCCCCTGTATGTAGATATTTTAGGTCAGGATACAAAATACAATGTTTTCATAGGGGAAAGCTGTATCTACATTAGTTTTCTAAAACAATCTTCAAGAATAGGCTAAAACATTTGAATTAATGAAACAAAAACTCCTTTACATCAGATAAAAGAAGTTAATCTAAACAGTTTAGTATTCCAAATAGCAGACCATCAATATTTAGCTTTAAGGATATCTCCCCAAAGAAAATATACAAGGGTGCCTGGGTGACTCAGCTGGAAGAGCATGCAACTCTTGATCTCGGTGTCATGAGTTCAAGGCCCATGGTGGGTATAGGGATTAATTAAATAAATAAATTAGAAAAAGAAAACATATAAATGGCCAAAGAACACAGGAAAAGATACTCAATATCATTAGTCATTAGGGGAAATGAAAATCAAAACCACCATGAGATACCACTTCACACCCACTAGGATGGCTACTATCAAAAGGTGGACAATAACAAATGATGGTGAGAATCTAGAGAAACTAGAACCCTCATACACGGCTGGTGGGAATGTAAAACGGTGCAGCCATGGAAAACAGTTTAGCAGTTCCTCAAAAAATTAAATATGGAGTCATCTTGTGACGCAGTAATTCTACTCCTAGGTACATATCCAAAAGAATTAAAATCCTATGTCCACACAAAAACTTGTACACAGGTGTTCATAGCAGCATTAACCCAGATGTCAACGGATTGATGAATGGATTAAAAAATGTGGTATATTTACACAATGGAATAATATTTGGCCATAAAAATGAATGAAATACTGGTATGTAGCTACAGCATGGAAGAATACTGAAAATATTATGCTAAGTGAAAGAAGTCAAGCACAACAGAGCACATCATCACAGATTATAGAATTTTATTTACATGAAATGTCCAGAATAGGCAAACCCATACAGATAGAAAGTAGATTAATAGTTGCCAGGGGCTGGGGAGAGCAGTAGGAAGTGACTATTAATGGTATGGGTTTCTTTCAAGAGTCATGAAAATATTCTGGAATTAGCAAGTGGTGATATTTGTACAACTCTTGTGACTATACTAAAAACCCAATGAATTATATACACTTAAACTGGTGAGTTTTACAGTATATGAATTATAGCTCATAAGCTCTATTTTTAAAAAACTGATAACGTTGCTTATGCTGCAACACATTCTAGTATATTTAGCTAGTGTCCAATTTTGCTGAAATTTCTTGCATACATACACATGGGACAACTGGTATGGAAGTGGTAAGGGCAAAGGTTAATAAAGTAGCCCTACCCTAGGAGGTACTAAGAACAACCAAACTTGGAATTTAAAGTTAGATATTAGGGGAAGGTCTCCTGGGGAATGAGGGTCAGTGACGGGGCAGAAATGAGTCATAAGAAATAAAATTAAAGAAAGTAAGAATGACTGTTACACACTGGAGCAGAGCTAGATTCAGCATACCAATAGTATGGTAGAAATACTGAGGGATACCTGGTATCTTTTCCATATTTGGCAAAAACTTTATAATACTTTTACCTACCACCTTTGCTGCCATAAGTCCCAGCTCAAAGGCCAAAAGAAGACCTAATTTTGGTAAGCTTCACTTATTTCAATAATACCATCACTGCTCAAAATATTTTTAGGTACCTTGATAGAGGGGGTTATTTTCACCGACATTTCTTTTTTTGTTTTTATTTCTTTTGAGACAGATAGAGCAACCTGGGAAGGGGCGGGGATGGG